GTCACAGATGCTGGTGAAACGTTAGGAAACAAAACTTCCAGAACACAGCCACACAGCCCGGAAGACCCACACCAGCCATCGTATTCCTGCTGTGAAAGCCTTCGACAATACAATAAGAATAATACTTCATTACGTGTGCATATTGCCTGACTCCCAGTGACTCTCAGCTGTTTACAAATTATTAAATACATTTTAAAACAAGGGAATGAAACAAAACAAAAAAGAAGAAAAATGACCGAGATGACAAACCTGGATGGGAACAAAGAACAAGAAAAAGGGGGGGCTTCACTCACCCTCGCCAAAGGCCTGGGCAGACAGCCACATCTTCAGGCTCCTTTGAAACACCAACAGGGTGGGGGTCATCCAGATCTCGGGGGAAACATTCCAGAGGGCAGGTGCTGTTACAGAGAAGGCTTCCAGGGTCCCAACAGACAGCATTGCTTAACTGAAGGAACCTGGACAGGCCAACCCTGCCAGATTGGTGTGGCCAGGTGGGCACATTTCCAAGTGGAGAACCCTCCCCCCCCCGGGCCCAACCAGGTCTCAGTAAGACATGTCAGGTCGGCTCCCTCCTCCAAGATAAGATCATGGACGAAGGCAGCTTTGTTACACACCAACCTGGTGCTCAAAAACAACAGCCAGAGCCTGGGACCACAGAGGATCTGGTTGCCAGGCATGGAGGGTAGAAGCCAAGGGCCAGGACTGCTTTCAAGCAGCAGGCCCCATGTCCTGGAGTATGGCCTGCCTTCTGATTCCCGCCCTATCTCCCTCTGCCCCTCTCTGTTGAGATGGCCCTGCCTGCCGCCTCAGTCCCTCCATCACCCCCCCCCGTTCCCTCCCAGGTCCAGTCATACACATCCCAATCGTTCCCCCACCAGATAAAACAATTCAATTCCCTGCAACAGCCCACCCCATCTCACTGGAAACCCTTCCCCCAACTGCACCTGCCCAAGCAGTGTTAGTTGTGTAGTTAGATTTGTCTTCTGATTCTTTCTTCCATAATGACTGGCCTGTCCTTTTGCATTCTTCACTGGACATTGCTAGCAGGTGATGGCATATGCAGGGGCATGCATGGGGGAGGGGAGGGCTGTCTAAAAGTCAAGTTGACAGCCATGACTGCGATTGAAACTCCATTTGTGTGTGCATGTCACATGTGCAATGCCCATAAAAAAGGGAGAAGCTTCAATTGCACAGTTGCAGCTGCCATCTTGATTTTTTGAACTCATTCTCATGTCAGATGTGTCAGATTCACCCAGGTACAGCTTGGGGGTTGGAGGTGGTATACTGGACTTGCATGAAACAAATTCTTCCAAATATGAAGTTTTTTTAAAATTACAAGTAGCAGCTATAATGAATTATTTTTTTGATGCCAATTAAAATTAAACTTTTAAAATCTCACTGTGGCCAGTGAAAAGAGGAAATTATAATTATTTCATTAGTTTCATGAAAGGACTTCTGCAACTGCTTATATATACGGTGTGTTCCAATTTTCCAATAATTAAAAGCTATTTGCTGTGTCAGTCTCATTCTGCATGCACACATAAGAGAAAGCAAGCAAGCTTGCAAATGTATTTCGACTGAAAAATTCTCACAGCTTGATTCAATAAACTTCTGCAGGAAAGTGTTGTATGTATCAGATGTTGATCTATCCTGAGTCATTTTGCTGTGTGGCATTGCTAGATGACCCATCCCTGGAACGTGTTGACTTCTTCACAACTGCTACCATGCCAAATCTATCAGGATGCCAAGATAAAAAACTTATTGGCAAGATAATAGTGTGACAGGAATTGAATGAGGGCAGCCAGCATGGCAACCCATGCTGTTTTCCATTATTTCATCACTGCATTGTAAAGTGGTCCTGAAGACAAATCTTTACAATCTGTTCTAAGGATCTGAGGGCTGGGTCCTGCAAGTACAACATTCAGATTTCATGGGGCTTTATGGACACATCCTATTAATATTGTTGCCCTGAGAAATATTTGGGTGGCTCATACTGATGAATCTCCTCTCCTGCTCAGGTTGAAGCGAGATGGGTGGGGACTAATTAAATAAATAAATAAATAAACTTTTGAGAAAATGTCCATACATGAAAGAATAGGGTAGGCCTTATCCTTAAGAGAGCTCCCATATTTTGTGACAGGCAAACCACACAATGGCTGTTTGTGCATAACCAAGCAAGCCAGCCTAACCATGAGTGTATGAACAGAACACCTGAGTCACAGTTTGAAAATTAGGCTGGTGGTTGCTTTGCTTGCGTCATTAGACTGAAGGGCATTATTTTGATACACAATT